TCCAGTTTTATATGACTGCCAACTTGATGGTAACACAGTCCCCTCTAACATCTGTGTCTGTTGTATTTTTCCCCCCTTTTCAGAGCCCGTATTAACTTGTTAGAGCCTCCCACAGTCATGTGCACTTCTGCATTTCTGTAGCTATCAGGCTAAACATTCAAATAATTTCCAAACCATAAATAGCTGATACCTACCCGTTTCATCAATCTGAAGTAAAATCTGAGACATTTAATATAGTGTGTTAGTTTTACCTTTAGCTCTAAAGCAGATCATTTGTTGGATGATTATACAGTAAATGACTGAAGCCTTGATGTTTTTAAGCTTTTACTTCATATAATAAAGAAAGTTAAACAGTCATTATGAGGGCTACAAGGCTGAAATTTACAGGATATCATCTTCATTTTGTCTACAATAAATGTGCCAAGTTTCATACTGATATACATAAGTGGCTTTGAGATATTAGAGAAAGTAATCCAATGCAAAGCATTACATCTCTAAATTACTTCAAAGTTCCACAAAAAAATCTCTCCAAAGTTAACAAATAATCAAGATTTATTGTGTTTTTTCTCGATTCAAATGTTCCTAAATGCTATATCCTACTACAAAATGACGTCCGAAATTAATAAAATACATGTTGACACATTTATAATAAGTTATTCTGTCTTTTTTGACAGAGAAAATTGTTTTATTTGATTAGTTTTCCTTCCATTGTAACAGCGAGGCCTACTACATTAATTTTACGATATGGTCAGACGGATGATATTTTTTCCCCCGACTTCAAACTGTAGGCGGTTTCACTGCAGTGACTTTCTATTGGATGACAGTAGCTGTCAATCAAATACACATGTGGCTAGCGTAAAGAGTCGCTTATTGAATCAACGGTCTGGTAAGTGTATCGCTTTCCGTCTAAAAAAGTTAAAAAGTTGCTAATTGGTTCATTATATTTGTGGGCGTAAACAATACCAAATTTTATTGGCGAAAATATTTATTAACACTTTCAAAACGGTTTTAATGTCGCAGTTTATAAAGTTTGCATAGCTCCGATAAAACTTAACAAGAAAATAAATTCTTTTTTTTTGTCCCATTATTTTTGGTCCAGTTTAAATTTAAACGAATTAAATGTATTATGTGACGTTTTGTTATTTAAAACGAGCTCCTGTTTTATTTTAAAAGTCTGCTTTTAATCCACTGAACGGCATATTAACGGTGAGGGGACATCTCAGCAGTACATTCAGTAACTACTTACTGCTGTAAATTAAAATGTGACGACGTGTATGTCGGAAACTATGTAGCGAGATTGATGAATCTCCTGACGAATGAACATCTGAGGTTTGATAGGACGTATAAAATGTCTGTATCGGTGTTTCTGGTTAACATGAAAATATACAGTATGTCTATTTCTTAATTTTTACGTTTAAACTTGGGTCGCATACAACCTCTGCGTTTCAAAAGGTTAAAGATCCGAAATGTCCCAGGTGAGTCATGTTTGTGGTGTTGTCACATGCTCGTCAGTATA